ATGCCTGCACTGGCTGGTGTGCTCTTCCCCTTAGCCAGGGTTTCCACACGCCTGCTCAGTGGGGTTGCCAACAGTCTATCCTCACAGAACAAAAGACCCTTGCTCCATCCTATGCCCTGCCCCTTCTTCAAGGCCTTGACCCCCCCTCGGTCACTCCATCCCCCTCCCTCCATCACTCATTCTCCCCTTCCCTCATCCTCACTCATTTTCACCAAGCTGGGGCAGGGCAGAGTGAGACTCTGGGAGGAGATAAGGGTTCAGGCAACTCTGAGGAGAAGTTTGATTCCAGAAGGAGGTGAGGACTCTGGGTTTGGGCAGGAGGTTTGGGTGCAGGAAGTGGTCAGTGCTTACCTCAGGCAGTGCCCAAAAGCAACTGGCAGCCACCCTTCTGACAGGAGTTCCTAGATGAGGGAGACAGGGAGTCTCCACCCACCTCTGGCTACTCACAGGCACCATGCTCACAGGTCCCATTGCCCAGAGTTCCTAAACCACCTGGACAGTGGAGTCAGTGCTCAGAGCAGGGGGAGCAAATGGAAACAGACACAATCACACCCACGTGCCACAGGGACGTGCCAGCTGCATCCAGGAAAGACTCTGAGCAAAGGCAGGCACGAAGTTTCCCTTAGCCCTGCTGCGCTGTTGATGACAGTGGTCTGAGACCATCAGTCTCTTTCAAATTCCACAGACCTCTGCGCAATTGGCCCCTTTCCTCCCACCCTTCGGTGGGCCTGCTCACGGTGATGGAGTATCCGTGTATTTCAGACATCTCACCCTCAGCAGGGCATTTCTTCCTTTTCTACAGCTCCCTCACTACAGCAGTGCAGAGAACACAATTCACAGGGTGAATCTTAATATGCTCAGGGGTTTCCTTTTAACTACTGATGAGTATTAGCTCTAGAGAGGCAGGAACCAACTTCCTACTAACATTATGGAGTCGTAGAAAATGAGGGTTGGAAGAGGCCTCAGGAGATCCTCTAATCCGGCGGTTCTCAAACTTTTTGGGGTCCGGAGCCCGTTACATGTGTAAAAATTTATGCAGAGCCCCAGCAGTCCACTAATTGTATGTGATGTACCTATCGATGTTTCCAGTTTATCAATCTCGTGGAGCCCCTGGAGATGTCTCATGGAGTCCTGGGGCTCCGTGGAGCACTGTTTGAGAAACACTGCTCTAATCCAGCCCCCTGCTCAAAGCAGAGCCAACCCCAATTTTGGACAGAGTTGCTTTGTATCAGGCTTCTTTTCTACAAATATGCGCATGTGAACTTATCTTTTAAAGGGAGGAGAAAACAGCTCAACATACATTTTATTAACATTAACTGTTGATCCAGTAGGTTAAATACTGGACCGAAGAAAAGGAGACTTGGAGGTGGATGGGAATTTTCTGACAAAATGTTTTTTCATTGGGAACCATCAATTCAGCAGAACTGAAACTTTTTACAATGTAGTTGTGAAAGAAGATGAGCAGGGATAACACTGAGCGGGCTAATCAGGATGTACCTCCACTAACTGAGTGTTCTCCCCGCTCTAAGACCCTCACCCTGCCAGGTCTATTTCTCGGTCAAGGGTGAATCAAACCATTTTTTAATCACAATTGTAAGGGGATCTCCCTTGTAGCAGTCTTAATAACCAGTATCCCAGAAACATGCTTAGAACATCCATTCCCTTTAATCTCAGATAAATGTCACTTTAACACTGACACACTTGAACACAAGAGCGACTCGTTGAACTTGCCTATGTCATCCATGGCCCTTATACTTTCCTTTTCATGCCTGTTTATGGACCAGGTGTGAATTTTCATCTCTGAACTCCATTTGCATATTTCACACCCAGATGACCTTCCTCCGTGGCACTGAACTGTTATAAACGGTCCATGTCATTCATCCATCATGAGGCCACTGAGACATCTCAAGATGTTCTCACAAGCTCATTTCATCTGGCTGCTAGTGCTGTGGATCCAGGGTAAGCATGAGACCCAGAAAAAATTTGATGAATTAAAAGTTCAATGATCCTCTGAAAATCTTGAAAGATCTAGAAATGTGGTATGCTGATCCATCAACTATCATCTGCCGTCAAAGCCCATTTAGTACATAAGCTCTTTGAGGCAGGGACTGTCACTTATTGCTGTCACCTACTTTGCATGCACATTGCACAGGTGTAAATTATTCTACAAGTGCAAGGTAATGGGAAATCAAGCCTCTGGCCTTCAGATCTCGTAAACTTTTATCTCTTTGTGCACATGCAATGAAAAGTATCCTAAGGGTCTCTAGCAAAGAAGCATCCTTAATCCCCAACAATGGTTACATGTTACCAGCAACCCAAACACTGGCTATTGAGGTAACATAAAAAATTTAGCCTAAGGCAGGGGTTTTCAAACTTGTGATACCGCGACCCCCCTCTAAGTTGCTTGCAACCTCCCCCCTCCCCCCGGGGTCGGGACCCACAGTTTGAGAAACGCTGGCCTAAGGCCTCCATTGTGTGCTTGCTTTCTGTATGTAACTTTCCCTATCACTAAACAGGAGGTAATGTGCACAGCTCTCTCTGCAACCTCTGTACTGGAGCACAGGGAATGCACTTTTACATAGAGCTGTTTTGCATAGTATCATCCGTGTGCCACTTCCATGCTCTGTAAGGTGTATAGAAATGCTAGGGGTTTCATGCTACATACTTCTTTATCTGTCAGTCGAGAAATATCAAGATGATCTTTGGGACTCAGTACATTTGGCTCCCTCTACTTTGGACAGAGGGTAAGAACAGAAAATAGCTAATGGTTACTGTGATGGGGCAGGGCCGTCCGGCCCCACTGAGACCGATCTGCCCCACACTAGTGCCACAGAAGTGATCGCACTCCTGGGGGTAAGAGAGCAGAGGGGGAGAGGAGGATGCTTCACTGCAGGGCCCCGGGTGATCTCAAAGGTAGGCGACGGGGGTAGAATATAAAAGGTGGAGAAAAGGACTGGGGGAGGGAGGGAGCGGGCTGGCGGAAGAGGGAAGAAGGACGAGCATCGAGGGGAACGGATGCAGCATGGACAAGGGAGAGAGCCGGGTAGGGAGCAGCCCATGAGCAGAGGGGGAGAGGAGGATGCTTCACTGCAGGGCCCCGGGTGATCTCAAAGGTAGGCGACGGGGGTAGAATATAAAAGGTGGAGAAAAGGACTGGGGGAGGGAGGGAGCGGGCTGGCGGAAGAGGGAAGAAGGACGAGCATCGAGGGGAACGGATGCAGCATGGACAAGGGAGAGAGCCGGGTAGGGAGCAGCCCATGGCAGAGCATCCGAGGACTTGCCGGTCACTGCAGGGCCCCGGGTGATCTCAAAGGTAGGCGACGGGGGTAGAATATAAAAGGTGGAGAAAAGGACTGGGGGAGGGAGGGAGCGGGCTGGCGGAAGAGGGAAGAAGGACGAGCATCGAGGGGAACGGATGCAGCATGGACAAGGGAGAGAGCCGGGTAGGGAGCAGCCCATGGCAGAGCATCCGAGGACTTGCCGGGACCAATCCCACACCAGCTGGACAGTACACTGAAAAAATAAAGATGTTAGACATTAAATTATTTCCATGATCCTATAATCTTATTATTTTATGCAAACTCCAGTGCGGCGGGGGGCTCTCATGACTCAGTCACCAGAATCCCTGGCAGTGGCTCCAGGAGACAGAGTCACGATCAACCTCAAAGCCAGTTCCAATGCTTATAGCAACATGGCTTGTTACCAGCAGAATTCAGGACAAACTCCTAAGCTGCTCATCCAGAGAGCTTCCACCCGTCCCTCTGGGGTCCCAAACCAGTTCAGTGACAGTAGGTCTGGCACTGACTTCACATTCACCATCAGCTGTGTTGAAAACGATGCTGCTGCAGATTACTACTTTCAGCATTTCTATGACAGTGGTACAGAGCAGTACAAAAACCTCCTTGCTCTCCAGAGTTTCTATTGCTCAGGGTAACAGCTGCTTCCCAACCAGTCACAGAACCGGTTAAACTGTTGCTATCACACACAGTAGCCTGTCTCCTGTAAACCTCATTTTTTGAGGAATAAGGGCTCTTACGCAAAAGGTTTTAATTCCCAACAAATGGCCCAGTCTACACAGGACTTTTTATCACAAAAACCTCTTCTGCAAAAAGGATCAGAAGAGGATATGCAAATGAGAATGCAAGATATGCAAATAAGTACTCTATTTGCATATCTTCTGCCAAAAAAAACTCACGCAGTTTAGACGTAGCCTCAGACACTTCTCCGTTCCCCCACTTAGCCACAAAACTCTTGATACCTGGTGATTCACTCCATCACATTCAATCGTTTCCCTTCTACTGTTCACTTCTTCTTGTTCTCAGTAGGTGCATGCAGTCTGCCACTGACATTTTGACAGCTTTTTGGATACGTTTACAACTTCTCAATAAAAGCTCATCATGTTCCTACCCCACAGCAAAATCAGGTGTTATTCACAACAGGAGTTCTATCCGGTAATTGAAAATAGTATAAGCGACATCTGCAGAACATGCCTTATATGGGCACAAATCTATAGCCACGTAGGAATTCAAAGTTGTCGCTACACTACATACCGTAAAAGCACAGACTGGCTGGTCCCCATGTTTCCTGTCTCCATGAGACTAATGCCAGCTAAAATGTGATAGCTGACATTAGTAAACTGACATTTTTATTGCTGTAAAAACAAGGCCTTAGAAATTCTAGCCATAAGGAATCTTGCCATGCCTGTACCCTTCCCTGAAAACCGCTGTGGACAGGAGAATGTACACATTGAATAGAAATCAAGATGGTTACCAGTGAACAGACTTAGGACACTCAGCACAGAGGCAAACTAAAACTGGCTCTGAGGGATACCACTGAAGATCAGAACTCCATTGACGGCAATCATGTCACACTGTTTAGTGCTCAGACAGAGAGAAGACTGAGGGATAGAGAGTGGAAGAGCCATGTGCTGTCCTGATGCAGGTTTGCAGCTCTCATTGCAGTTCAATGGTATTTGCTCCTCCCTAAGGTCTCCACACTGGGCCACAGGAAATGCACATTTACATAGAGATCTTTTGCATATTTCCACTCACTTGACATTTCCCTGCTTCATGGAGCAGATATAAATGTTACAGGCTAATGCTTTATGTTCCTCAGGTCTCTACCTTTCAATCTAGAAGCAGCAAGATGATCTCACAAATCCAACTTCTCTGGCTCGCCGTCCTCTGGATTCGGGGTAAGGAAAGCAGCAGGGGATAGGTCACTTTAAAATAATTTCTTACCAAGATGTCAATAACAACAACTGTGGCCCTGAATTCCCTGACTGCCAGACATATTCTCAGTCTCATTAAATACATGAGTAGGTTTGTTTCTTGAGACCACAATAGCTCTTCATTACAAGAAGTGTCACCAGATGTGATTGTAACTACCCTTTTATACCAAGAGTGAGATGCTAATACTGCATAATTTGTTTGTTAAACTGGATTTGATTTACACTGACTCTGTGTTACTTTACTTTAATGTTGTTCTCTGTGCAGGATCCAATGGGGATATCCTTGTGACTCAGACGCCCGAATTCCTGTCAGTGTCACCAGGAGACACGGTCACTATCAACTGCAAAACCAGTTCCAGCGCTAGTAGCTACATGGCTTTGTATCAGCAGAAACCAGGACAAGCTCCTAAACTTCTTATCTATAGCACTAACTCTCGTCCCTCTGGGATCCCAGACCGGTTCACTGGCAGCGGCTCTGGCACTGACTTCACTTTTAAAATCAGCAGGGTTGAAGCAGATGACGCTGGAGATTATTACTGTCAGCAGCATTACAGCACCCCTCTCACACAGTGATACAGACCAGCACAAAAACCTGCCTGATCTCTTCTGCCTGAAGTCACTGTAGTGAGCAGTGACACTGAAGCACTAGAGTAGCACAGCTGCATTTCAAGCAAAGATGTAGCCTGAGTTTCTGTTCTTCTGGTGATCCAGATGCATCCTGCGCAGTCACTCTATCTATGTACCTAATGCTGTTGATCTTGGGGGTTCCATCAACTTCTCTAGGGGTGTGGATTTTTCACACCCCTGAAGGACTATGCTGAGGTAACTTTTCAGTGTAGACCAGCCCTGTGAAACTGCTGCCCCCTACAAGGCATGTGGGCTAAGGTGAAAATAAGCCTGTGCGCCCCGGTGCAGTACAAACATAAGAGACCAGCCCATTGGGGGTAGACCTGCGGGAACCCTGGGGTGTGTGGTCACAGCATATGCAGGCTCCAGCCCAATGCTCGGGTGGCCAGGCAGTGCAGTTCCTACCGCCTTGGGAATCCAACAGCCGGGCAGTACTGTGGGTGCTCCCCCAGCCCCAAGCTTCCCATTCACACACACACAACCTCCTCCAAAACCCTCTGATTCCTGCACCCCAGACCCTCCACAAACCTGCCATGAGCCTCCCCACCTTGAGTCATTCACACGCCCTCCACAACTCAACCCTCTGCCTTGATGCCTGAATTCCCGCACACTGCCTCTGAGTCCCCCACAGTCTCCAGCCCACTTAGATCACCATGGTGATGCGGTCACCCTGATCTTTGTGCGATGGATGGCAGTTAGCAAGTTGTATTTTTGTACTGGAAATATTTTTAAACCAAATGAATGTGATGGGGCTGATAAACAAAGGTTTCCCAGATGAAGGAAAACTGACTTGCCTCTCTGCCCAGGTCTCAAATAGAGCAGAGTAAGCCAGAATTATATTTTCATATTGAGCCCACAGGAAAAGCAAATTAACAGAAGGATTAGAAAAACATCACAGACAGCATGGTGTCCAAACCTGTCAATCACTGTTCATGCACAAATATGCTCAGTAAAACAGACAAGTTTCACAACTTGCAAATCTCCCAGGAGAATCTGGAAGCCAAATAAAATAGAGGTGGCTACGAGTCACTAGTGACAATGAGAACCTGATTCACCACTATGTGACTACTTCTTTTCATGTGTCACTCTTGTAATTTCAAAAGAGATACACTGCATGGCAACTCAAGTCCTAATGAGTGAATTAATGTACAAATGTAATGTAAGGCCTCAGACCCTAAATACATGCATGCAACCGTCAGTGTTATTATAGAACTTATACTCAGACATTGCTATTCATGAGCGTCCTATTCACAAAGTGCTAGGTGCACCCAGATATTGCAGAAAGGATGCCCCCTGCGCCAGAGAGATCAGATCTGAGATAAAGAGAAGATAAAGAAATGGTAGCATGGGAGAAGTGGGCGGGCAAGAGGGATCTGAACTTAAACATGACAGTGGCCTTCCAGAAACATGTCTCTTAATGGCAACTGAAAGAGAACACAGGTTTGAGAAACATACATCCTATTGAAAATAATTTGGAAAAAAAGACCCACCTCAGAATTAACATTGGCATAATTCTCAGAATGATGAACTTTCATAACTGTGGAAAGAGACATATGGGACTATTTAAGGACAAAATAGTGTGCATTTTAATGAACTGTTGATGTATTTTATATGCATATTTATGACAAATCTACAGACTAGCGAGAGACTGTGCATGTACATACTAATTAATATGCAGACTCCAGTGGGCAGATTGTGCTGACTCAGATGCCAGAATCCCAGACAGTATCGTCTGGGGATACAGCTGCTATCCACTGCAAAGTCAGTTCAAGCCTTACTAGTGATCAGACTCACAACTTCGGTTGGTACCAACAAAAACTGGAACAAGCTCCTAAAACACTGCTCTATGATGCTATCACATGGTCATCTAGAGACCCAACCCAATTCAATGGCACTGGATCTGGTACTAATTACACTCGTACAATCAAAAGAGCTGAAGCTGAAGATGCTGGAGACTATTATAGTCAGCAAGGCAAGAGCGTGCCTCTCACAGCAGTACAGAACCGTACAAAAGAACCCCGTCTTGTCCCTTTTGGTGAACTACTGGTTCTTATCCATAACTGCTACACTAGTTTTCAGAAAGCACTTTGATCAGTCTTGAAACACCCAACAGAGTCCTTTGCACCCACTGCTGACCTTTCGATAATATTGTCTCTTATCCACCAAGGGTTTGTTTACACAGCACCCTTACTTCTACACAACTTGTGCTATGAAAATTCCATAGTTTTTTCAATCTTATTTTGAAATGGCTTATTTCAAAATCTGGCACTGTCTACACATCACCAAATATTAAAAAACGTGGTATTCGTAAATGCTCCAAAACCTTGTGCAATGAGGTTTACAGGGATGTTAGAATAGAGAGGCCATTATATTTTGATAGAATGGGCTTGCTCTGAAGAGGTGGAATAGCTATTTCGGGATACCAGAGGTATGCCAAACTACCTCCGCAGTGTAGATTTAGTCCAAGAATTACCCAATGCTATTATAAGTGCCTTTTCCCTGTGCCGAGCAGATGTCTGGTGCAGCTTCTTGGTGTAAGAGAAATCAACAATGCTAAGTTTAAATACACTAAGCATAACTTGTTTTATTTACACATACAGACCGCTCCTGGAACAGAGATGATCAAACACAGACTGCAAGAAAACCCCTATTTGAGGAATCTCATCCCCGCATCAGTACCCATATCCCACAGAATAAATCTCCCTTAAGAATTTGATCATAGACTAAGATGGAGCGCAACCTCTCCTGCTGCTCACATACATCTCTTTCCTCAGAACCATGCATAACCCAAACACCACAGCATGCCTTCCCAAAACAGACCGCATGCTCACACATGAATAGAAAACATGGAAGACGATGTAACTGTGCCACCTGGAGGCACAAAGACAGTTGTGCTTTCTGACTTAGCTGCTTTGTGTACAAATGTCCAGTGTTTCGCTCCTGCTTCTCTCAGTACGGGAACTGTGCGAGGGTCAGGCTTCAGGCACCTGTACGTTGCTTTTGACTTTTCTTCGCAGTAGCTTCTCCACCCAGGGGGGTAAGTCTAACCACTGCTAGCACAGGATGAAAACACTCCTCTTTCATACTTAAATAGAACTAAGGAACATTTAGGCTACATCTAGACCATCCCAACCTTTTTCGGTCCCTGTATTCCCTTGGCTTTCAGTAAACCTATTCAATATGAAAGGAAATGAATTCTAGACTCTAGAATCCACAACTTTTTTCACTAACACTACTACTTTTGGATAATTTCAATTAGGACAATCTAGTTATTTACCAAATATCCCCCCTGCAACCTTGGCAGGCTTCTCGTACCACCTGGGGGTACGCGTACCCCAGGTTGGGAACCCCTGGTCTAGACTACAAGCTTCTTTCAAAAGAGGCTTTTTCGAAAGTATCTTTCAAAAAAGCCTCTTTTGAAAGAGACTGTCTAGACTGCAATCACTGAAGCAGTCTGGATGATCTCTTTCGAAGAAGCCCTGTTTGCATTCAAGAACACCTTTTTTCATAAGAGCACTTTCAAAAAAGATGTTCTTCCTTGTAAAATGAGGTTCACCGCGGTCAAAAAAACTGCTGCGTTATTTCGATTTACTTTCGAAAGAACACTGTAGCAGTCTAGATGCAGGGGAAGGTTTTTTTTTTTAAAAAAGGCCATCTTTTTCATAAAAACCCTGTAATCTAGACATACCCTTAGAGATAGAAGAAGTCAGAACACAAAACAAGATTGAGTTTTCTTGGGGTTAAGCAAAATGTAAGGACAGTCCTTACTGTGCCGCACACAGCAAATACATTCAAATCCCTCACATATTCATAACTTTTCTATGCAGCTCTGTCATGTTACACCACTATTCAATTGCCTGTCTGCTCCAATGAGCTGACAAGAGGATAATACTAGAGAAATACAGACTCCCTAGGCAATTTATTACAGTGTTTAACCTCCCAGACGGTTAGGAAGTTAGAAAAAAGACACATGTGCCAACCAGTAGTCATTGTCAGCTAATGAGTACATTTTCCAGCACCTCCAGGACCACAGCAGGGTCTAGGCAGCAAAAGACTATGGAAGAGTCATGTGACATTAGCACTTTTCTGCTGGTCTTTGTGTACTGATCTCAAATTGTTCTACACAGAGGGGCACAATAGATCCAGATGGGGAAACTCAAGTAGAAATAACTTAACCAAGCTTCCCCAAAGCCTTCAGAGATCTAATGTAACCTGAGTGAGCATTGACTCTTCCACAACTACTCATGTGTACCCTGGAAAGTCGAGATCTCAAGGGGAGGCAAGCCCAGGGAAACTTTGTTGGCATGGTCCCACTGGCTCCGGACTGTGGAAAAAAGGGAGTCACCCCGAGAGTCAGGCCAGAAGTATGGTCCTCACCACACCAATGACCCTGACACCTCTGTGCCTTCCCCAGGCTGTGCAGTGATTGGGGACAGAACCATAAGGGACCCCAACAAAAGAACGAGTTGGAGAAACTCCTGGGATAGGGTCCATATAGAGTTTACTTTTGCTCCCCATAGAAGAAGAGAATCAAGCCCCAGGTCTCCTATTCCCAACAGTGTCAATCCATCACCAGCACAAACTTTAAGCTCACTTCTTTAATGCATACGGTTCCTGTTACAAATCATGCATTTTTCAGCAAGATCTTTAGTTGCTAATATTTCATTCATCATTAAAGCCCTTCATTTCTCACTACAGTGCTCATGGCTCTTGCAGGTGACTGTAGGTGTGAACTAGCTAGAAGCCTCAGGACGTGCCCATTAATTTAGTGCAGATGGGGCAGAGTTGCATGTACTGGTGGTAGAAATCCACATTTATTAACACTGTAAGGAGGTTGGATTCAGTCCTTTAAAGAGAGAGAGGAGCCAGTCTTGACAGGCACCTGCAAATGTGCAGCCAAACTCCTATATAGTTCAGAGCTACCTGAACCTGGGATTTAGGTTCAGACCCAACTTGAATCTAAATGCAATAGCCACGAAGCTGAATGGCACTTTACCATATTAGCCAAGCCACTAAAATCAGTAACATAGCTTCTGGCATCAAGTTCTACGACTCAGGAATTGGCCATGACTAAGCAGTGATATAGGCACAAACACTGGATGCTGAGCTAAACCTTATAATGATCATAAAAGCCTCAGCTGACATGAACAACAATACTCATCCACAGAAGCTGCATCCTCAGACCAGAGGCTGTACACGGCTTTCTCTCAACACCAGGCCACAGAGACTGTCCATTTACACAGAGAAACTAATTTGCATATTTCCACCTGAGTGCCCTTGCTTTCCAATCTCTGACAGATATAAAAGTTTCATTTCTTCAACTTTATCCCTTAGAGTCTCAGTGACTGTCAGGCTAGAGGAACAAGGATGATTTCACAGACTCATCTGATCTGGATCCTACTGCTGTGGATTCAGGGTAAGAACAATAAGATTTAATTATCATTAATCTCTTCATCAAATCAGTGTTAATTCTTCATCCCATGAGATCACAAGGGACAATTCCAGTGGACATAGTCTTTAATATAACTAAGTGGTTGAATGGTCCAATGGAAAGCTAGGAATTATTTACACCTTTCCTTTTTTAATAATATTTTATTTAATTTTTCTTATTTGTCTTATAATGTTTATTCACCTCTGCCAGATGCCAAGGGGCAGATCGTGCTGACACAGACTCCAGAATCCCTGGCAGTGTCTCCTGGGGACACAGTCACTATCCGCTGCAAAGCCAGTTCCAGTGTGAGCAGCTACATGGCCTGGTACCAACAGAAATCAGGACAAGTTCCTAAGCTCCTCATACACAGCGCCTCCACCCGTCCCTCTGGGATCCCAGACCGGTTCAGTGGCAGTGGATCTGGCACTGATTTCACATTCACCATAAGCCGGGTTGAAGCGGATGATGCCGGAGAATATTACTGTCAACAAGCTCAAAGCTGGCCTCTCACACAGTGATACACAGCAGTACCAAAACCTCCCTTTGGTTTCTGTTCCTTTCTGTAACATTTGATGCTTGTAGAAAATCAAAGATTCTCTCCAGCTGCTTCTGTCTCAAAGTCAGATGCACTGACAACAACTCTGGGCCCAAAGGCAGATCAGTCAATAGTCCGTTCCCCCCCCCACACCCATGCACAAGCCTTGTTCCCACAGACAGAGGGTATGTCTACACTACAGCGCTAATTCGAACTAAGCTAATTCGAACTAGCGCATCTAGAACTAAAAACTAGTTCGAATTAGCGTTTTGCTAATTCGAATTAGCGCGTCCACACTGATTGGACGCAGGGGGGCATTTAAGGGCAGCTGAAACCGGTTCTGGCAGGTCAGCAGTTGCTTTGTGTGGCTGCTGTCTGAGGCTATCTGAGGCTCGTGCTTAAAGGGACCCCCCTGGACAGCCGGTTCTCAGCTTTTC